AGACTTTGAGTTCAAGCCTCAACACCATGAAGAAATTGTACCATTTCAGAAGTTAAGACATAGCTTCATCATCCAGGAAGATTATAGCTAAATTGTAGTTGATTAGCAAATCCATCATAATTCTCCTGCTGAGCTGTAACCTCCCTATCCCTCCAGATCTAGGTGCACTCAGACACTCTTCAGTCCCATACAAATTTTGCACATCCCAGAACAGGGCATGAGTGCTGTCTCAGGTGACAGCACTTCAAACTTGGCCTCTGTGGTACTCATTCATTTGTATGTCATCTCACTGCACCTGATGTCTAGGCTGAATGTCAGTTTGGTATCTTTGTCACTTCCTGTTCTTAGCCTTGGGCTGATTCCCCTGTGCTTCCAGATCAGAGTCCGGCGGAGGCAGATGCCTGTTCAAGGCCCAAACAGCTAACACAGACCATGTACTCCTTACTGCAGGAAGCCCTAAAATCAGCTGCAACAGGTGTCTTCACTTCTAAATTTCTGCAGCTTTGCAAAGGCTTCTCATCCTTTGCTTCCTCCATCAGCATCTGTAGCAATACCATTTGTGCCCAATTTTTATTTTTTTGGTCCAATTTTGGGGCCTGAACTCTGGGCCTGGGCACTGTCCCTCAGCCCTTCAGCTCAAGGCTAGCACTCAACCACTTGTGTGCTCAAATTTTTGAACAAACCCTGATATGCCTTACAGGATGTAATGGCTCAATATATCTAAAAGTTTCAGGGGCAAGAATGGACATATTTCCCATCAGGGATGATTTTTTTTTTTTTTTTGTGGAGCTTGAACTCTGGGCATGGGCGTTGTCCCTGATTGCTCTTCAGGTCAAGGCAAGTGCTCTATCATTTGAGCCACAGTGCCACTTCTGGTTTTCTGGTGATTAGTTGGACTTTCCTGCCTGGGCTGACTTTGAACTGTGATTCTCAGAAGCTAGGATTGTAGGCGGGAGCCACCAGTGCCTGGCTAGATGATCCTTTTTTTTTTTTTTTTAAGTCAGTTGTAGGGCTTGAACTCTGCCTCTCAGCTCTTCAGCTCAAGGTGAGTGCTCTACCACTTGAGCCACAGCACCACTTCCAGTTTTCTGAGTGGTTTATTGGAGATAAGAGTCTCACGGACTTTCCTGCCCAGGCTGGCTTTGAACTGGGATCCTTAGATCTCAGCCTCCTGAGTAGGTAGGAGTACAGGCGTGAGCCACCAGCGCCTAGCAGAAGGCAGATGATCCTTTTTGAACCAACTCTGGGACTTACCATTACTTGGTGGGACTTTGAGATAATTTTATGCAAAAGTTTTAGTGAATTGTGTATTTAACTGTGACCTACCATGAAGTCAGTTAAAATTTTTCATTAATGGTGTCATGGGTGACTTCAAAAGTATTGCACTTTGGAGCACTTCAGCTTTTAGAAAGTGAATAATATTGAAATGTATTGCAGCTATGAAGATGGCATAAGGAATCCCAAAGAGGATGGGGAAAGAGAACACAATAGATTTAGACTAGGGATGTTCATCCTGTAGTTGGCCATGAGGTCCCTGGTAAAACGAATGGAAAAAAAACAAGGAGCTAGACAGTTTGGCCACAGTATTTTCTCTAATAGAAATGCTATAATAAACTTCTTAGCTAAAATAATGACAATGCAGGAAGCTATAAAACCTAAACATTAAGCAAATTAAGCATCAGGGGACCAGGCCTTGTGATTGCCTGTAACACCCAGCAGTCCTCTCAGTGTCCAGGGGCCTAGATGTTCTGAATTCCTTGTCCCCATTGGCATGTCCTTCCTGGTCTCTGAAGGATGTTGAGCCTCGGTGTCCCTTCCCTTGGTATCCAGATCTCAATTCCTACTTTGACTCACTTGGGAATGTTTACTTACATACCTTCCCTTTTCCCAAGCCTGTGTTTGGAATGTCTTAATTACTTGAGTATAAACTCTCATAAACGGTATACAGTTTGATTTGGCTTTGAGTCAGATTGAAAGATTTTATGAGTATAGATTAATACAAGTATAACAGTTATGTCTAATTTTCATGTGTTAAGTGTTTTTATTTGGTTTGTTTTTTTTCTCTTTAAAAATCAGTTGGGCATTACTTTTGGCATTCAGGATGCTTGTATTTGTGTTGTCTTTGGCTCCCTTTTGTATGTCAGCTTTCACTGTTGTTTCCAGTCTTGGTGGTGGCCTGGGACCCTCCCCGTTATGAGTTGCTCCCAGCTCTCTCCTTCATCCTCTCAGTTTTCAAGCTAGGTTGTCTTTGAATCATCACAGTGATTGTATAAGATCTCTTGCCTCTTATGCGCACTATAGTGTGTAGTTTTACATCTGTACATCACTGTATTCACTCCTCCCTTTCTCCTTGTGAGATGGGGCCTCATTAGATCATGTAGTAGAGATTTCGCAATAGAGCTTTTTCTGAGACATTGTGTTATGGACTCTTTTCATGAAGGACTCTTTTCCTTGTCCTCATTTCTTTCTTTCCTATCTTGTCTCCTCTTCTTGCCACCTTTCAGTGACTCTTGCTGGACTTCGTATCCTCTTTCTTAGATTCTTGTTGAGGCTCCCATTCTTGGAGTTCCCCTGTACCCCTTTTCAAGTTACTGTGGAACCCTTCACCAGGATATATGGCAGTCAGTGTCCCTTAATGGTGGGCACCCACTCTAAGACTGATTTTTTTGGCTGCATTTGCTTTTCAGTGGCATGCTACTGTGGTCCATGCCCTCTCTGGACCCTCTTATCTTTGAAGACCTGAGGAAAACTGGGGGCTGGATGGTGCCACTTGGCAGCTGAAGGCAGCCTAGGGACAGGGAGCCATTTCTTTGTAGAGGGTCAGGGCAACAGCTGTGTTGTAGAGGGTGGATAAGAGATACAAGAAAGAGGAATCAATACTGAGTGGAAGTGAACTCTTGTGCATCACAACACAGAATGTGTGATGGAAAGATGCTCAGGAGAATCATGGTTACCCCTCACTGCTCTGAGCAATGAGACCTAAGAGAGACCCTGGCCATGGCTTGTCTTGGCCCTCTAATAAAAAGCCTACAGACTAGTATACCCTTGTGATGAACTTGATTATCTAAGAGCACACTCTTCCTGCTTTCCTCTCACTACTTTTTGTTTGTTTTTGTAAGTTGTGGGGCTTGAACTCAGGGCCCTCGTGCTGTTCATGAGCTTTTTTGCTCTACCATTTTGAATACAGCTCCACTTCTGGTTATTGATTGATTAATTGGAAATAAGAGTCTCATGGGGACCTACCCAAGCTGGCTTCAAAGGGCTATCCTCAAATCTCAGCCTCCTGAGTAGCTAGGATTACAGATGTGAGCCACTAGCGCTCGGCTCCACTTTTCTTTTTCTCAGAGTCAGAATAGGCTCTGCCTCACCCTATGGTATAGCAGAATGTTCACAAGATTGTTCCAGTCCAACCATCTGCCCAGAGTTTCTTAGGCATTTCTTTTTTTTTTTTGGGTCCGGTTGTGGGGCCTGAACTCTGGGCCTGGGCGCTGTCCCTCAGCTCTTCAGCTCAAGGCTAGCGCTCTACCACTTGAGCCACAGTGCCACTTCTGGCTTTTTTCTTTTTGCTTATGTGGTGCTGAGGAATTGAACCCAGGGCCTCGAGCATGCAAGGCAAGCACTCTACCACTGAGCCAACTTCCCAGCCCTCTTAGGCATTTCTTATGAGAGGTCTCTTCCCACCTTCAAGTATATGTATAAAATGAAATTCAAGCCAAGAAAGCATATATTGGAGTGTGATAGAATCCGATGAAGATGAATATTCTTTATGAACATATCACCTATTATGTTTTTTTCCTCAATTTTGTATGTTCTCATTCTTTTTTTTTTTTTTTTTGGGTGGTTGTGGGGCATGAACTCTGGGCCTGGGTGCTGTCCTTGAGCTCTTTAGCTCAAGGCAAGTACTCTACCACTTGAGCCACAGTGCCACTTCCAGTTTTCTTATTGTTAATATGAGATTAAGAGTCTCCGATTTTCCTGCCCTGGATGGCTTTGAACTGAGCTCCTCAGATCTCAGCCTTCTGAGTAGCTAGGATTACAGGTGTGAGCCACCAGCGCCTGGCTTCTTGTTCCTTTTTGTTTCTGGGAATTTCATTTTTCTTTTTTTATGAATAGAGAAAGATTTCATTTAAAATTTGTGCATTCAGTCAGAAAATCGGCATATCCTTTCAGGACACTTGATATTGTAAAATACTAAAATCAAGACAGGTAAAGGATTCATAAGAGACTAGAAAACCAAAAGTATTTCTCTTGGTGAAAGTCACCTTAAAATGTCACACCAAAAAATAAAAAATATTTGAAACAAACCATAGAAGTCACCTTAAAGTCACACACACAAAATTTGAAGACTATTTGAAACAAAACAATGAACCTGACATGGACACTCTTAAGGGAAGAAATATGGTTAAACCATGTTAAATCATGTCTTTTGCATGATAAAAGAACCCAACATGGAATCTCATTTTTTTTGGAGACCAGAGAACTTTGTGACTTATTTCTACCCTTGAAAGATGAGACCCAGTTCCATTGAACTTACTTCACGTGGGAGCAAATACTGGAATTTCTCTTCTTTCCTCCTAAAAGCTGCATGGTAATAGTCCTTTTTCTTAAAAAAATTGGTTAGTATTTTTCATCTATTTATTTTTAAAATTGTCTACTTAGCTCAAAATCCTGCAATGATATTACCTTAAAAAAGCAAGAATTTTCTTGAAACAAAAAACACCAAAGACCTATAACTTGGGAGCTTGTGTTACAGACGACATGATCACAACAAAAATTCAGCTGGAGAATTTTGATAGAAACATTTCTTTACCAAAGGAGTACTCAGACCCGATACTATGCTCCTTGTTCCTGAAGAAACTCCAAGAAAATGCAGCAAAGCTTTCTCCCGTGCCTACCAGTCCAGGTGGTAGCTTCTGAGACGCACAGGATGGGCCTGGCTAGAATCATGCTCACCTGGACCCCTCCATAGCCCTGATGGTCATTCCCAGGCCCTGGGAACTTTAAGGGGTGCACTGGCGCACCCGGCTCCAGACCCAGTGATTTGGATTCTGGGCCTGGATCTGTAAAGGAAACAGAGGTGACTCATGGAGGATAGGCCCAGCCCCTGGGCCTATCATCTTTAGTGTTCCCATCCTTCCCTGGCTGTTGTCTCCAACGGACCTCCTCACACAGTTCTGCATTGACCCAGGCTCGGTGATCCATGGCATGAAAGAACTCCACCTTCAGTTTTAGGAACTCCTTGTAGAGGTCTGGCCAGTGCTCTTTGCCCAGCAGGAATTGGAAGATGCTCCGCTTGGATGTAGGGTTGTCTTCCTCCATGTCAGAGGCAATGTAGCTGTCACAAGGAGAGGGGAGAAGCATGCCAGCCTCAAGCGAGAAGCGTGAGTCATATCTGGTGATGGTCTGGGGAAGTCTCTACCAGGTCTTATAGGGGCCCCAGGGCATGCTCAATACTAGGCTTGCAGGGCCTGAGCTGTGCACAGGCCAGAAGAGAATTCCTGTTGTCTCCTGAGGGCTTCCTCCCTCAGGCAGGTTGGTGTCTGTGTAGCTAGCTGTGTTTCCTGATTACTTTCAGCATCGTGGGGTCTTTTTATTTCTCCTACCACCCCATGGTCCCCGAGGGTCTCATCTGCACTGTGGCAGAGAAGGACAACCACTCAGCGCATGGGAATGGCCAGCAGCCCTGATGGGGTGATGGAAGCCTACAGCGTGAGATTTGGCAGATAGAGAGCTAGTCCCTGGGGGAGGTACTCACAGGGCCAGAAAGAAATGAATCCTGTTGTAGAGATGTCCAGGCAACCCGACACGGCCAAAGTACTCCACCACCATTGACAACAAGTACTGTGTAAACAGAGAGCTGCTGAGGGGTTGCCAGCAGTGGGCAATGGGAGTGATTGGGTGGGGCATGGCTTCTTCCCCTGTCCAAAAGGACCATGATGGCAGACCCTCAGGTTAAGACTTTCAGAGAGTACTTGTTTGTCAGCAGGGACAGGCAGTAGGAATGGGCAACTTGACCCTCCTTTCTCTAACCTCTACAGGTCCCTCCAGGGTTTTTAGCCCAGGACAAATGGGCCTCTGTGCTTGGTCCTAGAATACCATAACTCTGGACTCCTCAGACCCCTTCTCTGGTGCTATGGAGGTACCTTGTCAGACACTTTGAGGAAAATGTCCGCTTCCAAGAAGCTCTGAATAACAGGGTCCTCTGCAAAGGAAGGAAAGAGCAGTGAAGGCTCCTAGATCCCATCTGGAAGCAACAGTGTGACTGTGGCTTCCCCTCTCCTGAGGAGCAGAGGGAGAGAACATCTAAATTGCTCCTGGTGAGTGGTCTATGACAGAGAGGCAGCTACCTCCACCAAGAAAGCCTTCCATCAACACCAGTTTTAGCTATGGGATATGAATTCTGCTATTGATAAAATTATCCAGTCCTCACCATTGTTGTAATGGAATGGGACAAGTTTGTTCACTGAAGACATTCGGCCATGTTCTCAAAATTTAGCAAATTTGCATCATCTCACAAACCTGGATGTGGCCTCAGGTCTCTGTGATATTGCATCTTGTCATACAAGCTTTCTTGGCAGGTATGATTGGGCATGGGGAGTTAACACCCCAGCCCGCTGGCATGCTTTTCCTGTGGCTGCACACTCCCTGAAGTTATGACTCAGCTTCCCCTTTTCCACAATTCATTCTGTGACTAGAGCTGTTCCCTAGAGATGCCATTTTCCAGTGAGGATCTGAGTCCTAAGTGTCCTGTGTGTTTTATTTGGCTTTTGTCTAGGCCAATGACAATTTGTACAGCACGTCTTTTTCCAGTCTACCTGGTCCTCAGAAGAGAATTGTCCAAATAGAACTTTCTGTGATGAAGAAAATGTTCTGTATATCTGTTCAGGCTATTGAACATGGGAAAGGTAGCTGGTGATACAGAGAACCTGATGTGGCTAATATATGTTGGACAGTGTGATCTTGGTGTTTCTAAACCTGCCACCTCCAGTGCTACCACTGGGCCTGGCATTATTACCTCTGACAGACCTTCTCTAACTCTTTGATTTCATACAGTGCTCTCAACCTTGTTTACTTAGACCCTAGGCACCACCACCTGACTTGCTTTTTCCATGCAGTTACTACTAGCAGAGATCAACTGATTCTGTATGTGTGTTTGTTTTCTGTCTCTTGTATTGGAGCATTAGGACAGCAAAGTCTTACAATGTCTCCACTGGTATGAGTCAGTAATGAATCTGCTTGTTAGGGGGGCACCTTTGGTTCTTTGTCCATGAATCTTTTTTCCTTCCCTCCAGGAACTTGGCTTATAAAGGAAACACTTCACTCTACCCCAAAACCAGGGGCACCCTGCATCTGTGTCTTCTGGACTCCTCTGAACTGTGGGGGCACATATGAGCTACAGCACCCCTCTCCGACCCTCAACCAATCCTCAGAGAATCCCAGCTCAGAGAACCCACCGAGAAGTCGGTAGAATGCTTCTTGGTCCTCCAGGCGGTAACTGGGTCTTCTCTTCTTATTTATCCTGAGTTTGATTCCCTCCATGTGATCCACAGTCCATATTTTCTTCTGTCCTCTTCTCCTCCAGAACTGAAGCTCTGAGACAGCTTCTGAAAAGGCAGCTTTGGAGGCCACTAGGCAACTCTCCTGGTTAGCTGTGGGAGAAAAAAAAATAAACAATTGGGGAAATGTGTAATGTGACCCACCAGAGAACTCCTGGGCTTTTTCTGGCAACTGACCCTGTCTCAGGTGGACAAGTTGACACCTGGCTATTCAGCAATAACTTGTCCTTCTGCGACCAGGAAGTTGAGAGATGCTGAGGACACATACCTGTTGCCTTGTCTCCCAATTTCGTCTGCTTCCCTTTCTTTTGGGCCCTCTTCCTCATGGTTCTCTGCTCAGGGATAGCTGCTAAAGAAGCAGAAGTGGAGGCCAGGCTGCTGTTCTGGGAAGCTGCAAGGGGAGGAGACCCCCAGGAGATCAAGGAAGGAACCCATGGGACAATGCCGAGTTCCTCCCTTCTCACTCACCTTGGGAAATTTGCCTATGGCATCTGAGGGCAGGGAAGAGGATGACTAGCATCCTCTGTCTCTATCCTCAAAGAAGGGAGAAAATGGTTACTTATTTACCCTTCTTTGCCAGGCAAAGGTTGCTCTCTGGTGTTTCTTTCCATGGATCATTTTCCCCAGAAGATGTGTCTATGGAGACTAACGAATTCTCTGGTCCACTGTCTCCCATAGCCGTACAAGTAAACAAGGACATGACCTTCTGGTTCAATCTGATGCCTCTTGTGCCCCTGCAGAACCTGACTTGGGAGATTAGAGGGAAGGAAAGACAAGGTTGGAGCCATAGTGGTCTGTCTTCTTCACCCAGAGTCCAGAGCAAACAGGCCAATGGTCATGCACATCTGCCTTCCCTTCCATGACACTTTTTGGCTTTTCTTTGGTGGGTGCTATCTTGGGCCAGTCTCTGAGCCATCTGATGTGGGCTCCAAAGAAACCTTGTCTTTTCTGGGTCCCAAAAGATGTGAGAAACTCACCCTGATTCCAACCAGCTTAGTCCATTTTTTGTAAAACATATTAATCATTTCAATGAACTCACAGTTATTGGTTACTTTTTTACTTAATCCTTAAAATCTGTGAGGTAAGGATTATAATTCATCTGGTTTACGATGAGAAAACAATGACCTGACCAGGGTTTTCCCCTTGACTGTGGCTACAGCACTTTGAATTTGAGATTAGAACTCAAATGTTGAGTGCTCAGGGAAAGAATGACTATGGGCTTCAGTCCTGTTTCCAGAAGTGTGAAGCTGGATGACTGTTTATTTTCTTTGTCGTCAGATCTCTCTAGGTCTCCCTATGAACTACTATAAATTCACAGGTAATCAAGTCTGACTAGCATGACACACAGTGCTTTCCATGGCTCCCTGAGCCGCTGATGGCTGATTTCTCTTGGCCTTCCTCCCCTCCCTCTTGTCCATTTTCCCTCCTGTTCTCTCATTCCTCCACATCTAAGACCTGTTCTAAAGCCTGCATTGTGTGTTGCTTACCTGGAGATTCAAAACACGCAAGACTCCTTGGAGAAATTCAGTTCAAGATTTGAGACCCAGACTAATGCAGGAGTGGGTAGTGCCCACCCTGTGTGAAGGAACACCTGTGCGGCTCTCTTGAGGTCCAGGCCCTCGAAACTCTTTCACACTTAATGAGTGTACAGCCTCAAACACAGTAAGATGGCACTCGCCATAGTCAAGTGTTAGGAATCAAATGCTTTCCAACATTCCAGAGCCTTTATCTGGGTCACTGATGATATCACACCATTCCATTCCATCAGGAGCTTCTCTCTGCTTAATAATAAGATACTCACCCAAGGAAAAGGTGAGCTGCAAGTGGGAAAGATCTGGCCTCTCGGTTTGAACACTGGAGTCACCTCTTACCTTAACATTAGCTCCACTTTGAGCCTTGTCTAGCGTTTAATCCATGAGCCACTAAGTGACACAGATGGATCTACACATCAGAAAAATAGAAAAACTTAAAGAGCAATACCTCATGTTAAAAATAAAAACATCTAACAGTTCATTTTATGATCTTATTTGTGATCAGCTGCCATCATAGTAAAATTTTTAAAATTTAGACAGGGTGCTGGTGGCTGGTTCCTATAATCTTATATACTCAGGAGACTCAAGTCTGAGGATCATGGTTTGAAGCCAGCCTGGGCAGGCAAACCCAAGAGACCAGTAAAAAGCCAGAAGTGGAGGTATGGCTCCAGTGGTAGAGCATTAATAGTAAGCTGGTGAGGGGAAATTAGTCTAGCAAAAGAGTCCAAGGAGAGTGAGATTGGAGGCCCTGAGTTCAAGGCCCAGTAATCAGTGCACACCATGCACACACACACACAAACTTTAAAAGTTTAACTATAATTTAATATACATATATATAAAAGTGTAACAACATGTACGTTAAAGTTTCATGTGTTTAGCTTTAAAATATGTTAAACTTTAAATTTTTTGTAAATTATGTTTTTTATTTAAGTGGTTATACAAAGGAGTTACCATTCAACAAATCTGCTTATAAGCACAATGTATCGTAACCTTAATAGAAAACTATTGAGGCTTAAAAACACACAGCTGGTTGCTGGAGGATCATGTCTATAATCCTTAGCTACTTGGGAAGCTGAGATCTGAAGATTGCAGTTTAAAGCCAGTCCAGGCAGGAAAGTCTATGAGACTCTTATCTCCAGTTAATCACCAAAAAATGTCAGAACAATTGTTGCTCGAGTGGTTTAGTGTTAGCCTTGAGCATAAAAGCTCAAGGACAGTGCCCACACCTGAATCCAAATAACTAGTATCAGCAAACTAAGCTTCATGCATGCTTCTCTTCTCTACCCTTTTATTTGTTCACTGTTATATCTAACAATGGTAAGAATGAAGTGATGTTAATAACATTTGGCAATTGCCAGAATTTGGAGAGTACATGTCATTTACATTTTTAAAAAGAAAACATGGACTATTGCTCAGCAATAAAAACAAACATGTTGAGTGGATCTGAAGTTATGCTGAATATAAAGTGAGTCTCACAAGGTTATATACTGGATGATTCAATGGATATAGCTTTGAGGTATAAGTTATGGAGATGGAATATAGATTTGTCCTTGTTTAGGGAAGGGGATCGGCAAGGTGGTGTCTGGCTAGAAAGGACAGAACATGGACATGTTGTGTATCTGAACATGTAATAAAACTACATGTAAAAGAGTTGAAATAGAAATAAGATGGATGGGTGGTAAAGTGATAATTGGTTGATTGTGGCCCAATTCTCCCCAGAGACTTTAGTTATGTCTCTTCTGCTGTCCAAATTGCTTAAGTGCAAGTTTTTACCACTGGAAAAATGAGGTGAAGAAGGGTAGAGTCCTCTGTATTGTTTCCTACAACCCTATGTCAACCCACAAAGGTTTCAAAATAAAAAGTTAAACTTGCTAGGCATTGGTGGCTCATGTCTGTCATTCTAGCTACTCAAGAGGCTGAGATCTAAGGATTGCAGTTTGAAGCCAGCCCATGCAGGAAAATCTGTGATACTCTTACGGTCCAGTAAACTATCCAAAAAGCTGGAAGTGGAGCTAAAGATCAAGTGGCAGAGTTCTAGCACTGAATGAAAAAGCTCAGGGACAGCATCCAGACCATGAATTCAGGCTCAGCACTGTCAACTCTCTCCCCCGCCCCCAAAGTTATGACGGAACCAAGGATTATCCTGTCTTGTATTTCATTCTGCAAGATTTTTTTATTCTTTCTAATGCAAAGCAGAAAAAAATGGAAGCCTAATTTGGTTATGCTTATTGGTCTCTTGAGCACATAATGTTTTCAACTGCATAGGAGGAGTAACTTCAGGGTAGACCTGAAGTTGGGAAGGTCTGACTTCTTAGGCTCTGGCTCAGGTTGTTTCTACTGATCACCTATGAGGCCAGCCACTCAGTGCCCCTTCCTACTAGTGGGGAGCCTGTGTCTTCATGGAAGTCAACATAACAGGCAGACCTTGGCTTTGTGGACTTTGTAGGGCACCTCTGAGGAGTGTGTATGGACAGGAAAGCTTTTGTGGCTATGTGGTAGAGTCAAAACTCAACTGTACATCTGGGAGCAGCTTTAAGTTCTGGGAGCTTTTGATTCTCTGAAGGTGAACCATAAGATCCACCTGTCAGGGAGAGGAGGTGAGGCCTTTCCATTCCTGAGCGATACCATCTGCTTTTAATGGAAAATGGTCTTATTTGTAGAAACTGATACAAACAAAAGAAGGCATATAAGATTTGCCAAAAGTTATAAAATGCTCAGGACTTTGCATTTCTTAAGCAGGTGCTCTACTACTGAGCCATACTTCAGCCCTTTTTCTCCATTGGTTTTTTGTTTTTGTTTTGGTCAGTCCTGGGGCTTGAACTTGGCTTGGGAACTGTCCCTCAGCTCTTCAGCTTAAGGCTTGCACTCTACCAACTGAGCCACAGTGCCACTTCCGGTTTTCTGGTGGCTGATTGGAGATAAGAGTCTCATAGACTTTCCTGCCCAGGCTGTCTTTGAACCGTGTTCCTCAGCTCTCAGCCTCCTGAGTAGCTAGGATTACAGGCATGAGCCACCAGCACCCAGCCCCCATTGGTTATTTTTGACATAGAATTGTGAGAGGAAACTCACATAGAAATCTCATTAACACTGGGGAGAGGAGACAGCACTCTGCCACAGGGAGGAGAGAACCATGGACATAGGGAGGGACAGCAACTGATACTAGGGGGCAGGTCACTGGTATGGGGGGGTTACTGAATTCACATGGCATTTGTGGCTGTAGAAGTCTAGAGTGGGCAAAGACAGAGTAAAGAACTTTCTGTAAATGACTACTGGTTCTTCTCCATAGGAGGCTGAGAAATGCCTCAGGCAGGCTCCTGGACCCTTGAACCAGACCTTTCTGATGGTCCTCATTGGATGTCCTGCCTGGTGGAGGGTCCTGGCTCACCTCCCTTTGCCTTCATAGTTCTATGAGGGGAGAGAAAACAAATGAGTTCCTTTGTTTGGTAGATGGGCTTTGGGGAATGGAGAATGCATGGTGAGGAAGAGGTGCTCAGCATGCACAGTTACTCCAAAATGTAGTTACAAAACAGTCACTGAGTATGAATTCCTGTGACCTTGGTTCCTGGTGGACACTGACAAATCTTGTTTCCTCTCCTTAAAGTGAGGGTAGCAGTCCTTTCTCCATGGGGTTGATGGGAGAATTGGCTTGATTTACATGATTAAGTGCCTGGTGACAGAAAACATGCTTACACTGCCCTCTAGTGGGAAAACATCTTGAAATCTGGTTTACTTGTCAGAATTGTCCTGGACAATCCAATTACTATATGTATAGGTCCCACATGACAGGGTGTACATGCTTAGGTTTGTATCTTAAAATTGTTATAAAAATCACACTATCTTAAAAGGGAAACAGGTGGGAATTTTATTTATGTCTACTGTAAAATAAGTCAATTACCTCTTTCATGTTTTGAAGAAGTACTACCCCTTGTGTATCGGGAACAATTTACATTTTAATAATAAATTACAGGACAATTTATTAAGATGTTGAAATATATTTTATGGATGTCAGGAGCTTAAATTCATGACTCCACTTTCATAGAAATCGATAAGACGTTTTCGTTACTGCCAGTGAAGACTAGGTCCGTGGTAACATTTTTTCCTTGGTGGGCTGAATTTCTGGAGGTACAGAGGCCAGGATGGGAAA